ACATTGTTACATTTGACAACTTACAGGAGACAACAACAATAAATTCTGATAGTTTTAACCCTATTTTCACCAAGATTAGTAGATTAATTTTGATCTCGATTAAATTCACCTTCTATTTTTATATAATTCTAGTGGAATTAAAAGGAGATAAAAGAATAAAATAAACCGAGATTAAAGTTCTATATTGAATAGATAGAAATAGGGATTAATTATTGAATCGATGCTTCTCGATTAAAATGTATCATTGATTTCATATTATTGTTTCAAAAGTGATAATCGATCTACTTCTTTATTTAGATAATCGACTTTCTTAGCGTCGACTTAAGTATTCAAAAGAGTCTGTCACGATGTTGACTGAAATTTCTCGTTGAAAAAAATCAAATAAAAATGACTCGAATATTTCTCATTAGTATTCATTGGCGTAGCCTTTAAAAAGTACTGCTGACAACTTCTTGTTTTTTCACGAAAAGTTCGTGAGAACAACGTCCGACTTTCAACGATCCTAGAGGGTAAACTTGACCTTCGACCCGTACGTTCACCCACAACAAGGACGGCGGAAGTCACGGAGAATTCCATTTCCTACCTTCCCCATTTTAAGGAAGAACGCATTTCTCTTGAACCTTTTAATAAAGATTATGCAATCTCTCCGCTAATTAATGTTACTTTTCGTACTAGCTTCGCTAATTAATAGTAATTTTTATTGACCGTACTTCTAATTATTCAGTCGTAATATATTTTAATTAAGAAAATCTACACAACACATCGTATTGAATTCGTTGGACTAATTTTTCATATTTCTTCTTTTACTGTAGGAATTAACATTTTGAAAAAAACAGCGAAATTTCGAAGAAATTTATATCCGTAATGTATATTTTATCAACTTTAAATAGGTAAGCATGAACTTTCCTGATAATTTTTTCCTTCTGAGATTCTTCTGAGAAAACATTATTCTCGTGAATGAAATACGCAACATATGAATCGTTTAATTTGAATTCAAATAAGAGACTACTCTCCAGATGGTATGAATAATTGATGGTATGTATTTTGACGTATGCGTTTATTTTAAATATAACTTGTAGTTTAAACAGATTGTTTATGATTGCTCAAAAAAATATATAATAGTACGATAATACATAATCATAGAGATTACTATAATGAACCGTTGACTCGTTATGTATCAGTAAATACCTGTTGTACGATCAAAAATGGGATTATAACTATGTCGGAAATTGTACTCATTAGTATGACACAATCACGTGTCGCTGCATGAACACACGAAAAAAGAAGATACGAGACCATCGTTATCAATAACAACGAGGAGGAAGAACGGAGAGGAGGACGAGGGACTTTGTGTGAACTCCAGCGACCATCTGGCGCCGCGGTTGAGTTCCTCAAGTCCAGCATGCTCGCATCCTTAAGGATCAGCGATGCGGAGGAAATAGAAGAGATTAGATTCACGACCGCACGGGCGGTTGATGACAGCCTCCAGGAATAACGAGATCCGGATGCGATTTAACTCGGAAGGTGCAGGAAGGTGTCCATTTTCCATAAATGAACGAAGGGCTTCGGGGATTATCCAGCGGTTCAATTTAATCGCAATCTGAGCAAAGACGACTGCGCGACGATCCTCCGGAGGGGCAGATTCGCAGCCAAATCGAATTAGCTTGAACAGCGACATCGCGACGACGACGAAGCTGTGCAGCATTTCGAAGATCCGTCGTCCCACGCGTTCACAATCAACTTTGATTTTTTTTTTTCCTTCAATGCTTCAGATTGCATACATTAACGCGCAACGTGAGTCCTTGCACACGGGCAAATAATTTCCATTGTGTGACGTTCTTCTCAGAAGAGATTCTTCGTAAAGCGTCTCACGACAAAAGTCACGTGTCTTATCTATTCGCCGTCGAAATTCTTTCCTGAAGACTCAAGATTTTGATCGAACGCTGCATTTTCGAAATTTTCCGTGTTCTCACAAAAAATCTCGAAGCACTTGCTTCTATTGAATGTTATTCTCAAATGCAGATAGACACGATTGAGAAAAACTTATTCCAAATCTTGAATTCTCTAGAAAAATCGACTTTGCTACTTTGGGATGCTGCCTTTCGAAATTTAAAAAAAATTGGTCATAACGGCATCCAATCGATGTATTTTAAATTTGAAACGCAAAAATATGCGGTTGTGCAAATAAAAATTTAGTAGATAAAAAGATTCCGTGAGAAAAACAGAAAGGCGGAAGAAACAGCTTTAAAATAAAAATATCAAATAGAAATATATTTTATGCAATGCAATTCTGTGCTATATATAAATTTATTTTATTTTACATTTATTAAGAAAAGGGAAAAGCAAATTAAATTGACCGTGCTTTTATCAATGTTTCTATTTGCGAATAGCGTATATTTATTTTTACTCAAGTATTTTTAAAATGGCCCACATTGTCTGTTTCAAGATAAACCGGCCACAGGCAAAATTAACCAATATTTGATTAATTTTTTTATCTAACGATTCGAAAGATACAGAGAGCAAACCTTGAAACCTTGAAACCGATTCAGCTAAGATGTATGAGGATTCGACGCAAAAATAAACACTTGAACTCCGACCACGAGGCATTCATCATCCGACATCTTTATCGACGTTTTCCCAAGTATTCTTTTCTATAAATAAGGGAGTAAAAAAGTAAATCCGCGATATATCTCCGTCGTACTCTCTTCCACCTTCAACGTTTCGCATTCACCCTCTTTCTCGCGGTACCAAGAACGATCTCGGCAAACGAAATCGTGATCGAGACGAATGTTCTTCAGAATCGAATACGAACCTGGATCTGAGCGCGCTTGACCTCGGTGTAGAGCCAGTTGTCCGTGGAGAAGGCGATCGCCAGGAGAGCAGTGGCGATGATACCGGTTATGGTGGCAAGGGACAGCGTCACCGCGGAGCACGGCATCTTGATATTTTATCTCCGGTATTCTCTCTCTCTCTCTCTCCCTCTCTCTCTCTCTCTCTCTCTCTCTCTCTCTCTCTCTCTCTCTCTCTCTCTCTCTCTCTCTCTCTCTCTCTCTGTCTCTCTTCCTCTTCTTCGTCGTGCCTTCGGCCTCGCTCTTTCTCTCTTTTTCTCTCCCGTCTCTTCCGTTAGCTTCACCTCGCACTCACCGCGATTACGTGGTGGTTACTGCTACCGACTGTACGCGGGCATCCGCGCACGAGGAAGGAGAGACTGCCACGAAGCGCGCGACGAAGAGGAAGGCTGGACCGCGCTCCGGAGGATTTTGGAGAACGCGAAAACGTCTATTTCTCTCTCTCTCTCTCTCTCTCTTTCTCGACCCTACGGTTGGATCGGCGGGGGACCGGAGGGGGATTCGGCTGGCCTCCGGATGATATATCCGCGTATCTGGCCGTCCTTCAGGATGCGCGCTCCGCCGCGATGCACATCACACCACCATTCCTGTCGCAACGGCAACGATACTAACGGCTCGACTCCCGACTCGCCTCGAAGGAAAGCCAGCCGGAGAGCCGGCCGAGAGAGCAAGGAGAGAGAATCGGATCCCAGGTGGGGATGGACTCGTAGCCTCGGGCAGGTATATTACCTGTGTTTTACCCAGGCAGCGGTGCTCAACACGAGCGACCTGTTGCCGCGTTGCACCTGGCGCCGACGGGAGAGAGGGAAGGAGTCCCGCCGAGTCTCGTCCCGTAGGAATTCCTGAGGATGATATCGCTTGTACCGATCTCGGACGTGCCCCCCGCCCGACGTCGCCGCGGAGACACTTTTGTCATCCACACCGCGAATCCGAAACATACAGCAATTATTGCCGACGTGTTCCGATCACGATGCCCGACGTCCGAAAGCGATCGCACAGGAGAAACGCAACGCTCGATATCAAATTTCTATTAAACATCAGAGATTGGATTCCTTGAGATTATTTCTTGTTATCACGCCTCGCTGTTGAAAATCGAGTTATTAGCTTCACTCGGATTTCCTTAGGATCTCTTAGGAGATACATATTTCTACGATCGCAGTTTTGGTAACGGTATGATAGTTGTCGAATGTACACATTTCACGCGGAGATATGTGTTTATTATGTTGATACCGTCGTGGCTACGTGTGAGAAAATCCGCTTGGGATCGGTCGAGGTAAAAGCTTAGGAAAGTCACGCATGCATTCAATGAAATGAGAACAGTTTCTTCGAGGCTATGTACCTGCTCCTGCCTCGTCCTCTGCCTCTGCGGCGAGCGATCCCACCACCATTGTAAGATAAAGTCGGCGTAAACGCCGGGGAAAAGCATAGAATTCCTTGCATTCTGCGTACTCTCGGATCGCTCGTGATTTCGCAGGGTGTCACCGCCGAGATCAGAAATGTTGCTCTCCGCTTTCGTAGACTCTATTAATTTCTTAAAAGGAAACGCAGATTTGTCACGAATAGAAAAATACAGTCATGAAGTTGCACTTGCGGAGAAAATGAGCCAGTTTCGTCCATCACCGTAATGGAATTTCAAATTTCGGTCAAAATAGTTTTGTGATTTCCATGCGGACTTGGAAAAACATTCTAATGTAGATTTATAAATACATTTTCAGAACTGTGATTTAACCTGTATAGAATATTTAAAAGAATATTTAAGTTGCAAAATTTAATTAGGCAAAATTATAACGAATAATATTATAAATTTTATATCAAAGTATCAATCACCCGGCAAATAATTAAACGGAAATTTATAAATTTAATCTTGTATTTTTTGCGATTTTTATTACATCATACCTTTTGAATTGAAACTTTCTCTTTTTTAATACAATTATGAAAGTCCATATTATGACTTTAATTAATTTTATTTAAAATTTTATTTAAAATTAATTTTATTTAAAATTTTATTTAAAATTTTATTTAAAAATATTTTTTTTCTCCCTTGCAATTCTCATAAAACATTATAAAACATCCAAAATGTAGGAAAGATTTCTATAAGGCAATAAAATCGTTGCACATGGATATTTGAATAATATATATATATTATAAAATTATTACATATAAATATTTTAATATAAATATATACATATATCATAACTTAATATTTAGTATCTAACGTATATAAATATCACAATTTAGAGAAACATTAAAATATGTTAATTGTACTTCAAAATAGAAGGATCGTAAGGCGTACCTTGGAAAGGTGATCCTTTTGCATTCCATGCCTGCTTCAAAGTAGCTTCCATTTTCTATAAATGTGATATTATTTATAAATTGTTAAAATAAATAATTTTCAATATGAACATACTGTGTGTGTGTGTGTGTGTACACACACACACACACACACACACACACACACACACACACACACACACACACACACACACACACACACACACACACACACACACACACACACACACACACACACACACACAGTATATATTATGAACGAGATATAAATAATTACAATTTGTTCAGATGTTGGTTTGCCCAAGACTTTCTGTTGATGATTCCACATCAATTCTTGCACTTTCATTTGTTCTTCTGGCGCCATGTCATCAAAATGTTTCGAACAATCAATTTTGTTTAAATCAATTTTTGGTTCGTCAATTATTAAGGCTTCCCACCATCTCTCTGCAGTCTTTTCAAGATGAATCTATAAATATAAATGAATAAGTAGACATTAAAAATTAGATAAGTTTAAGGACACATTTCAAAACGTTATATAGCTTATATGTAATAAACACACATTAATATGTTTTCCTTCGATACTCCATATAGATTCATCTCTCCGAATTTTAAAACTAAGTTTGCCATTAAAAATGTTATCCCATTTAGAATCCACTGATGAAGTAGAAGACTTTACATCGATTTTAAGTTCATTTGAGCTTATGTTGATCTTGACCGTGTCTTTGGATGCTTTTACATGTTCCGGTATCTTTACAAGTACATCTAAATCATTGAGAGTCTGAGTCCAAATATAATTATCCCTCACAGCTCCATTATAACTGTCGGATATGTGATCTACTTTGGATGATTGTACACAGGATGATTTAATATTATCAAATTCGTTACACGAACTAATTTCAATTTCTTGCTCAACTGGAGGAGTAAATCTGCATTCTTCATTTTGTATCAAAACTGATTGATTTGATTGTATGCTTTTTGTATTATCATTTACAGATAATGTCTTCTGTGAAGTTTTTTGTAAAATCGATTCATCTTTCCATTTATACATAGCATTTAAAACAAGTTTCTCCATTATTCCTGATGGAAAGCCCAATTTTTGCTCTGAGTTTGCTTCGACATAAAAGTCTGTACTGTTGCAAAATGATATCATATAAAAAGAAATTTTATTATTATTTTATTATTCAAAATCTGCAGGATTCAGCAGAATGTTTATTTATATTAGATGTTTTCTAAATTGAAAATTATTCTTCTAAATCTAAAAGAACAATCTTAGCACAAAACTTCTAATAGATGCAAAATAGACATTCTGCTGAATATAATCATTAATATCTTCAATACTCACCATCTATATAAAAATCCAAAAAAGGCATCCAAGAAGTTACTAATATTCTTCTCTTCACGAAGTATATGCAAAAATATTTGATCATGATTGGACCCCATAATTGGATAAAAAATCTACAAATGGTTTGTTTTTTGTAACTGAATTAGTGTATACTCATTATATTAAGATGAAAAATAACATATATATATATATATATATATATATATTTGACAAAGGAAGCTAGAAGATTCTAGTGCAGTCCAATGAACAGAAAACAACCTAAAATTCTATATGGCTATTTCGCCCGTCGTTAAATATATTTAGAAATAAATAATTCAATTGTTTATTCAAAATTCAATTATCGTTTCTCGAGGCGGCCCAGCGTCTAAAAATATTTGGAATAACCTCTGCAGTCCGACAATACGTGTTGTGCGTTGAAAGTAAAAAAGCAATTAACGCACTTGGACAAAAATCTTTCTCTAAACTTGCTGGAATTCAAATTTATGCAGAAAATCGCCGGTCAATTGTTTAGAAGATGCGGCTCTTCAAGAAGCATTAAGTGACAACGCCATCGAGGTCTTCAAAGTGCACTGATCACATGCATTTAAAATGAAATAGACCTAATTTAATATTGAAGAGAAGAAGAGAGAAGATGAAGAATGCAAAAAGTACTAGAACAGGACAAATTTGTTCTCTGTAGTTGCACCATATTACACTTTCTGCACTTTAAGCGTTGGAGAAAAAAGGAGAGAAGATGAGACGTGCAAAAGATCGAATTCTGAAGCTTTTATCTCTTTCAACAAGATGGCGCGCTGTATATTTTTATCATCTGATACTCTCGGAAATGTCAGACAGCTGACTTTTGCAAACATCTGTCTTTAAACAAAATAGATCCAAGCTTCACACTGTTGTCAGTAACGTCATGAAAGAATTCTTGCCGCCTGTTATTGAATGAAATCAAGATTAAATTAAATGTGATTGAAAATAACATTTAAGTCTGCTGCTAAATATTATTTAAGAAATTGTGCAAAAATTCGTCATTTTAACTGTAGTAAGAAAGCATTAAACAATTCAATTCGTGACAATTCACGATATCTTGCTGTAATTGTGAATTATATCGAGATAATCATTTCATTGAAAAACCTAACCTTCATTCGATAATATACCATGGCAAATGTTCCCGGTTTCACGTTGGAAACTGCAAAAGGTTCACATTCACATTTTCAGAAAAAAATATTTTTAAAGTTGTATATTATTATAATTCATTTTGTGTGTATATAATAAATCTAGAATTATATAAAATATACAAGTAGATATTTTTTCTTCAGCTATACTAACGGATATTTTGACTGCATTGAATACACCTGAGAATTTGCAAAAATTAGCAGAGGCAAAAGAAAATTCTGGCAACGAGATGTTAAAAATGATGCAGTTTGTTTTTCCACTGGTAACACAAATTCAAATGGATGTCATAAAAAATTATGGTTTTCCAGAGGGAAGAGAAGGTACATGGATTAAGAAAAATGATATTGTATATTTAATAAAAATGAGATCGTTAAATTATATAACGAATTAATCCTTGTATGTACATCAAACAGGGACTGTACAATTTGCACAGCTTATTCGAACTTTAGAAAGAGAGGATGCCGAAGTGGCGCAATTACACAGTCAGGTCCGTTCGTACTTTCTTCCACCAGTTAGGATAAATTCTTCAACTGAAGCGTCTCTTTAGATCGAAAGAGAAATTCATACGTAAACTTATTTTAAAAAATAATGTTCATACATCATACATCATCTTTACCTTAAGATTATATTAAGTTGGAATAAGGATTCATGCAAGTGAAGAAAAAGATTATTATAAAAATAAATAATAAGATATATATCTGTTTTTTTGTTATACATTTTTTTTAAATATTTTGATTAAAATTTTTCGTCATCTGAAGTCTACATATCCTAATAAGAGAATTTTTATGCAAAGATAAATGATATCTTTCTTTTATCGAAGAATTAGTGAAAATATCTTTCTACATTTTTTATAGAAAAATTTTGAATGTTTAAATATATAGATTCCGAATAGTGTAATCAAATCTGCATATACAAATCTTTTAGAAAAAAGGAATTTAAATGTTTAATTTGAGAAAACTTAAAAATTTTTATATTTATTTGTATAATATTAATAAGTATATCATTATAATCTACTAAAATATATAATATTTATTTATATAAATGTTCTTTGAATTCTTTTTTCTGCAATTACATCAGCTCTAAAAGCTAAACAAAAATATTCCACTGTTCGCACAGAGATGAAGTTACATACATCATGATTTATATGTTTATATTATAAATCATTACATAAATAAAATATAGGTAAAAAAGAAACAGATCTATGTAAATAAAATCAAAATATACAGGATGCTGTGGTATGTCATCCTATATTTAACAGGCACGATAACAAGCTAGTAGTATAATCAGTTATATTTTCAAATCGTTCAAGACAATGATTGTATAATTAAATCTCTACGCGTTATCATACGTATTATACATTTTTTAACTTCATATCCTGGCGAACATTTGGATAAATACATATTAAATATACAATTTCACTCAAATAAGCAAGTATGTTAAAATTGCATAAAGCCAACAGAAATTATAAATTTAACGATAAATAATACATTGGAATTATTTGCTCGACGTTTACTTAGAATAGCTTGAATCGTGCAACTTCTGATTTGGATTAGAGACAAGCAAATATATGGTTCCCCCTTTGTCAATACTCGGTATATACTGACAGAATTCTCCTTGTATAAAACTATAAAATCCGTCACTATCTTGAAGAAAAAGATGCTGAGATGCAGAACTTCAATGAAGTTATTTAAAACAATTTTCTTTTTAATTTATGCCAATATCATTTATAAGTGGACATGTATCAAAATAAATAATATCATTATACAATATCAAAACACTATGCATGATATAGGTAATAGCAAGTCTAAAATTAAAAAATTGAAAAAGATAACTCAGCAAATTTTTCCACAAACACATACGAGAAAGACGAGCTTTTAAAGTCCTATGTGTCCAAGACTACAAGTGGGGAACGATATGCTTTAATGTATATACATTTCTTATATGAATCAAGATACGTTTTGTCTTTATATGTTAAAGAAATCTGATTTGTATTCTCGTCATGCGAATTTAAAAAACATGGGTAGGCAAAAACTTTTCTTATAGACTCGTTATAAATTTATCCTACGAGCGATGGGCTCTTATATAACTGCGTTCGTTGACGCAGATATTAAAGTGGATTAGAAATAACGCATTATTTCGATTTAAATATCGATCCTCGAATACGATAGATATAATTCTTATCGCTCTTGAGTTTGATTCTTTAGCTATGCCAAATCTCGCATGAGCGTGCTCACGGTCGATTGATACCGAGAATTCAGGTGGTAAAAATAATTATGAATTAGTGTTCGTATCATTTAGCATGAATGCTACTTTCACAATTGCATTTTTAGAAGTGCCTCGGTGTGTGCCATAGGTCGCAGTATGTCATTTGTGAATGGCCAGCTATACAAGAATACAGCTATGCAAGAAATTCGTGTACATTTTGTAACACAGTAGCTGCCCGCATTACAGATTATGTATTAGAAAGCAAGCCACAACATCGAATTTTTTTTACAGACCATAATCGACACATCTCTAAGCGTACAACGGCGAACGAAACTCTGTTCATTGAAATGATGCTTTTGCAAATTACACGATTACAGTCTCACGATCTCGTTTTTCCCTTTTTTTTTACTATAGAAAACGCGTGTGTACAAAAAACGCATAAAATGATCTCGACGCCAGCATTACATTTACATTCTTCCCCAATGATGTGAAGCGGTATTGCTGAGCAATCTCTCCCTGAATTGATTCATACATAGAAAATAGATCATATAGAGAAAGGAGCGTGTATAAAATCTAGTCGTACTTTGGGATCGCTTAAGCTTTCAAAGTTAAAACATGATTTATGTGTTGTACCTTTTAACCACCCAACCGTCACTTAATTACAAATATTTCACACTTCTACTAGTTAATTGTTTAAGTGATTACCCCACAATAAACTTTAAAAAACGAGTAATACATGCAAAGGAAAGTTAGAAAAAAAACCGAGAGAAGAAAAAGAACTTGTACAATGAGCATAAGTGCGCTGCAATATATATAATCCGTCGAAAAATAATGCTTTAAGCTACGAATAAAAATTCATTGATGGGGATTGTTTCCTCTGCCTTTCTATTGATCTTACTCACGTATCTCCCTGCCCATAATTGCTATAAGTAAAATCATATCTTCCTTTTTTATTATTAACCGAAATCTATACCGTAATAGAGTTACATGTAGCACTGCAGATCACGTTTCGCGGGATGCAGTAATTGCGAAGTTCTCTCGATTGATCGATCAGGCTACGAGAGGAACGGATTAGCCGTAGAAGTTGTATTCGCTGTCCATGGATCTTGTCGAATCTGATTAATTGTAGGACGGGGTGGTGGCGTCACAGTTGCGAATGGATTTGCTGAATATGACATGGTTGCTGCAAAATCATTCATGTACATTCGTTTGTTAGTATAAAACAATTCATATTGTTCGTAAAAACAGTTCGATCATTTAAACGCTTCATTAAATCAATATCAAAAACCTATATCAATATCTTGAATAAAAACAAAGAAATGTTTTTCTGTAATCTGGAAATAGAAAGAAATGATTACATTTATAAAATATACATTTTGTCTTTTTTTTCTTTTATACGATAAGATTTGTTTTTATTTCAAGACGTTGATTTTAATTTTTAATTTATATGATTATTCGATATAGCTTAATATTTATTGACTCATTCCACATAAACAAATGCACATTATATAAAAAAAAAAAATAATAATAATAATCGCGAAAATTGAAAATATCTAAAGAATAACTTATTTGAAAAAAAAAAGAAATCTATATTTTACTGGAATACTGCGAGATATATATTCGGAGAAAGATTCAAATCACAGTACTCTTATATAAAAAATAACGCACTTGACACAATATATGAAAGACACTATTGTAACAAGCATAGTAATTACATTGCACATAATAGCCACCATGCATTCATGCCATACTCATCATTGTTCTTGATACTCACGAACTTATTTCCAATGAAACGCTATTTTGTAGACATAGAGTATGTTACAGCATAAAATATATTTTCTTTTTCCATGATATTTGATTTTCGCTGAATGTTAATTAGATTTTGTTTTTAATAATTTATAATACTATAGAAGATATATATCCAAGCGATATATGTGAAATATATCTTGAATACTGGACTTTTCTTTCTCGACACACATGTATCTTCTAATTGCAAGTGAAAGCTTACCTGCAGGCGCGGGAGCCGTTGGCTTAATTGCCGAAGCGCTGACGAGATTATCCAGATTGACGAGCGCGGAATTCTCTCCTAAAAAGGATTGCGGTGTCTTTTTCACGGCACCAGTGCTGGCAGGCAGAGTTTCAGCCATGCCTCCCAAATCGAATGGATCTCCTCCGGATGATGCCGTACCACCTATTTTATCATATCATAAATCATATAACTTCATTACATAACTTCATAAATTTATGTTGCATAAAAAGCTTGCACGATTCAATGATTCAAGTACCGTTATTCACTGTTTGTGGACTAGTTCCGAGTTTTCCCCTGTTGGTAATCACATCAAATTCATCTAAATCGCTGAGAGGACTCGTCGCGGCGGCATTACCGTTATTTTGAGCGGGAAAGTTATTGAAGCCCGGTCCTGTGCCGTTGAAACCATTACTAGTGCTGAAATTGGTAGTGGCCGAAGTTACTGGCAAATTGAAACCTATAGTCTGAGGAGGCTGTATCGCAAAGCCAATGTTATGTGTCAAGTTTGAATTGTTGAAAGATGGTGATGGGGATGTCATGCCATCCTGGGCCGGCTATAAAAAGAGAATTTCAAATTAATCTTCTATGAACGTTGCAGAATTTGAAGAACTTTGAAGGACAAGTCTGTATTACCTGCACTTTGTTCGTTTCCGATTCAGTAGTAGTAGTTGACGGAACTGGTGACCAAGGATCATTTGTACGAGGAGGAGATACGACTGTAGCGGGAGATGGGGCAGGTGCACGCCACGGATCGATAGTGGCAGCTGTAATTAAATTGTAATTTGAGTCTAGTCAAAATATTTATTGAAATATTGCAATGAAGACTATTTAAATGAAAACCGAAAGTAAGTATATATTCTCTCTTGTTAAGAATCTAAATATTGTGCTTTGTGAGAAAAATGGTGAAAAAATTAATTGATTATACCTGAGGAGTCTGAGAATTATCGGAAATCGTCAAAGACATAAGTACATGTAAAAAGAATATAAATATTGGAATTAAATGGGGGAAAGTGTAATCATGTAAGAGTATGTCAGAATAACGCAACTCACTTGGTCTTTGCGGAGGGACCGGTGTCCACGGGTCTACCGGGGGTGATGTAGTATTTGTTGTTGGAACACTCCACGGATCGTTCTGTGGCTGTACAAAACAAGTACGCTATTATTTTTTTCCATTATTTCGTTAATTACTCCATTAAGATGATATTCCATGCTATTTGCGCTCTTTTAAATGCATATTTAACGTCCTCTTAACTCGTCGGGGACATACCTTATACATATGAAATTCAGATAAATCCAAAGACTGCAGTGCATCATGCAAAAATTTCGTGTTATCATGCAAAATGCAATTTATCGAATTAGAATGGTAGAATTAGCAAGTACCTGTGGTCTAGGCGGTGGTGCTGTTATTGGAATGCCCCAAGGATCGGTTTGTACAGAAGAGCCGCTGGCTTCTCCCAAATTCACATCGAGTAAATCCAGCATATGGCTTTGCTTCTCAGATTGCGGGGCTCTGAAATTCATACATGTGGCATTGCCCCCGTAAACGCAAGGTCGGATATTTTTTTCTATATCAAATTACTAGATTACACTGGATTCCGCTGACCACTCACTTAAAGTCTTGCTGACTCTGACTAAGAGCTAACTGTAATCTGACATCATCGCTGCGTCTTCTTTGTTCTTCCTGCTCCGCTTCTTCTCTAGACATAGCCAAGGCCAACTGCAGTTGTAATTCTTCCTCTCCTACCGTCTGTGGTCTTGCGGCTTCCAATTCCGCTGGAAAATATATTTGTTGTCTTAATTCTTATGTTAAATGATTAACGTATGAAAAAAATAAACAAGATATGATAAGAAAAAATTTAGATTAAGCATATAAGAATTATCTTTCGTCCTAATTGAAGCGATTTTAATTTGCAAAATTCCGATTAAAAGAAGCTACAAAATACTAGTGCTTATATATTATGAAAAGAAACTCACTCGCACGTCTAGCTGTTGATTCGGATAAGTGACAAGGTTCCCAATCTTGAAACTGAAATAGAATAATTCATAAATAAATAGCATTTAATGATCGATCAATAACTCACTACTCACATCACTGCTGACAGGTGACATTGTGTCCAGACCATCACTTCCAAAACCACTAACTGACTGTGCAAATCTTTCTTTTGCTTTCAATGCTCTAGCTCGCTCATTTCTCAATCTTTCGTCGTCTTTTAATAAGGCCACTAATTGTTTTGCTTTTTCTCGCACGTTAATTCCTTGATCTTTATGTCCATCCATGTATTGAAAATCTATACAAAAATATAATAGGACTGTTAAAAAAATTTATAAAAAAATTCATATTGATATATTATTTTTATATTCTATTAATGTACAGAGTATTAATTTTAATAATATATAACAAATATGAACGCTTAATTTCATGTATATTATGAAATAAAATTTCAATTATTTTTACCTTTCAAGGTTTGGATGGCAAATATATTTTCTTTGCACTGTTGCGCTACCTTTTCGCTTCCCGTCTTGATAAGATATTCTAAGAGAACTAAGGCTTTGTATACATGTCGCCAATTTTTCCCATGATCGTTCAATCTTTTCCATAGCATTTGCATAATTTCCGTAAATGCTACAACATTGTATGTTAAGTCGGCAATTTCTGCCATAAGTGTACTACTTGGACCCCAGGGATCATTGCTGGTAGCTTTTCGTACAGCTTTCTGTATGTGAGAAAAGATATCAATTATCTTAAATAAGTGAATTTAAAATTTTCAAACGTGTACTTTTATCAACTCTTTTTTATAATGTCTTTAAATACTTTTATCATTTTATTAATGATGAAAAGCAATATCAAGAATTTCTAAGAAAGTATAATCACCTGAGCATTACTGTAGTTATGGGCGAGATTCATAATATCTCGCCTAATACCTGCTAAATTCACCTGCATGACGTCTTGCCCTTGTCTTCTCATCTAAAATATCATTGCTATATATTACTCAATTGTAGTATTGTGTATCTTAATTGTAGAAACCCATATTTATTATCTCATTTAATCCAAATGCAAAAGAAAAAAATGTATTATATCGTTCTGTAATGTAATTATATCGTTCTATATAAAAACGAAATGAAGATTACAGGATCTATATTCTGTAAAAACTTATAGTCTTTCAAAAATCTATAAATCATTTAACCTTAATTAATCTTTAACATAGTCTATAATTGCTATATAAAAATAATAGCAGGTCAATCATGACGCAAGTGGCGTCTGATAATAAATATGGGTATTTTGCTTACATGGAAGCCATGCAATTATAAGTATGCATTATTTTAACCACTACAAACCTAATGACATTAGTACCAAATTTCAGTAAAGTACAATTGCAAATTAGTTATAGAGAAGGTTTAGATCTAAAACTAAGGCATGCACGTTAATTAAATTATTTAAATAACACAAAGAAAAAATAATTTGCTAAAAAGGGATTATTATATATATTATATAAAATAAAGATTAAAATAAAAGATAAATACAATTATATTACATACATATTTTTATAATTACATTATAAAGTTATAAATATCGTAATATAGTATTCAAATATTTAACAATTGTACATAATCAAATACAAAATTATATATCACTAAGCGAAAAAAAGATATCATTTATATTTATCATAGTTTTACTTTAAAATTTACTCTTTTTAACACACAGTTCGCTTCATTTGATTATTCAATTTTTTTAAAATACGCCTTGATAATACCGTCTTTACATAAACATAAAAAGTCATTAAGTTTTAAATTAAAAAAATATTTATCTATATATTTTTTAACGCTATGTACAAATTTATTTTTTGAGATGTGCCTATATAAATTTACGATTAAATTACCGTCTGTTTCTCTTCCTCTCTATCTTATCTCTGAGATAAGTATTATTTATAGGGCTACATGGAATAAAGTAGCAAAATTTAAAACGTATTTCACGTATTTAGGTAACATAAAATATAGTATTTAATGCAATACTGACTTGCATAATGTACATTTGTCATTATCAGCTTTACTAACTATTATTGTCGCGTCATTTTTTTTCGGTAAAAATTGCAAATCAACAAAGGGGCATCATGACAAAAAAATTGGAAAAATAATGAAAATAATCCGAATATATGTATAAATATCACATAACACACATAACAATAAAACTCCTTGTAAAAAGTATCAGATTATTTTTACAAAGATTGGCACAGGTATTATTTACTGTGGGGACACAGAAATTCTTCTAAATGGTACGTTCTGACATCGAGTATCGTGTTATTGCGAGTGGGTACAGCTGTTAATTCAACAGTCGTGAAACATTATTGAAATTTACCTTCTGCATCGCCATTCTTCGACTAATGAAATATGTCGTTGGGGTTGTTGATGAAGAGCTCTATAGGTATTGCCCAGAAATATAGAAAACTTCCGAATACTCCGAATCACACAACAAAAGGCTGGACTATCAGACGGCACGGTAAATAAATACGTGAAATTGTTACATAAGAAAGAAAAACACTATCACACACCTTAAATGCATGATATGTTATTCTGCGCGCGCAAATGATAATGACGCATTAATTTGTTAAAATATCATGGTGGTATTATGCAAATGAATATTACATGAATTTTTTTTTCTGGTAAGTCATCTCAAACGGATTCTCCGTGATTGATTATGTGCATATGTGCGAAAAAAAAGAGAAGAGTAATGCATATGTGTTTGATATGCTTGTGAATTGCTGGTATGACAAAAGGTTATAACAATGACAGTAATTGAAAATTAAAAAAAATAAAAAATAAAAAAATATTGCGTTTTGTTTTTAATAGGCACAGCTCATTAATTTCCTAAAACTTTCATGTATAATAATAATAATAAATTTCCTACAATCTTCAAGTTATAACGCGATTAGTGTATTGCCAAAAATATATCGCTATAAAAAAATCTTGTTTTAACAGTTTATTATTAGTTTATTCATCTCGTCATTGAGAGAACGTCGAGGGTAATTTCACGTACACACAATCAAATATCGATTTAAATAAAATAATACTGACTTATGGTCTTTCACCGTTTGAACGAGATCTCAATTTAAGAGCACGAAAATTACTATTCACTCTTCCCGTGTTCCTTGAAATCTTCGACAAGCAAATCGTTAAATCGGGAGAGAGAGCAAGGACTGGAATTAGCCTCCTGGTGTGTATGTTCGACCTACAGGGAAGGGACCTATTGTCAACTGACTACCCCCTATTTACATGAGTGCATGCGAAAAGCTGGTAGGGAATCACTTACACTGACGGAGGTAAAGATGCACACCTTCCTTTAACGAGAATCGTGAACTGCTCCTCTAGGAAAAAAAAAAAAAAAAAGAAGAAGAGTTCCTGTTGTATGTCGACCGCTTATCTTATCGCGGCGCTGTAATTTATGCCTCATCGGCGCATTGTTATCAATCTTCTGCCACGATAATTAGTATGCAAGAAAAAAAGAGACGTTCTCCTTCCTGTGCCTTGAGATTTCTAACTTGAGAACTCCAGGGAAACATTTCACGGTGTCATTGCCCCTTTCTTTCCGAGATGACGGTCTGAGATCCTCGACAGCATCCGTTATGTCTAACAGATGATATCGACGTCGTGTCGTTTAAATATCCTATCGCTCTATTAATCACTAATCGCTCGCTTTCACGACGGCAACACGTCTTCTCCCGAGCGTCGAGCGTGACTACGCAAGTAACGTCATTCACAATCGCGTTTGCGGAAAAGTATGGAATGTAAACAGCCCGCGATGAGAGCCAGGAAGCGTTATTTCTACCACCACGGAACTATAGCGAGCACCCTAGATTTCTTTGTCGGGCTTCCTTCCGTCATGTGTTAAGAGCATTATACATATAATTGGCCGTGAAAGTATCGATCATTGTCTTCGCCGACTTGGCTGACGGCTGATTTTTCTATCTCCTGCACAGTGAGCTCACTTTCTTTATTTATCCAGAGTATAAACAATCCGCGATCGACGTACCGCGGAAAATCTCTCGCTCAAATCTCAAGGCACAACTCGAGAGCCGAGATTCGCGGGAAGCGCGATTCACAGACATCATCGGGATCTAAATCGTCGAAATCCTGGACACTCCCCGCTTCGATGATCGGATCCGAAGCGAGGATCTAAAAAGCGTAAAGTGAAGACGCGAGGTGCGCGTGTGCGGAGGAGAGCCGACGGGGGGGTGGCGCAGGCAGGAAATTATTGTACAATTGTTGCTAAATCTAGACGTCGAGTGTCGAACGGCTTTGCCGAGTCGGAGCTCGGGACCGCGTCGACGATCCTCCTCGACCTCCTCGCACGCGCGCGCATGAGGGGGAGCGAGCGGTCGGGTCGGGACGACGCGGCGAGCGGCACGACGGGGACGACGGACGCGTGCTCGTCCGTTCCACTCCGGCCGCGACTGGCGGAGCGCGTTGTCGCGCGCCGCGCATCCGCCCGCACCGAGGGGTCCTTCCTCGCCGCGCGTAGCAGCAGATCCGAATGGACGTATATGTGTGCGTGACACGTCAATCTCGCGAGGTGTCGTATCCCTCGTTCACGGCCTGAGTTCAAGTCAAACCGATGACAATGACGACAATGACGATAATAACGACGATAATGACGACGGCGGGTGCGGGCGCGGCTCCCGTTTTCCTCGCGGATATATTGTCGCGTTCACTAGTCCGAACGACACGACGATGATGATGATGACGATGACGACGACGATGACAGCGATGACGGTGACGACGGCAGGACTCTCGTACTCACCTTCCGGATGCACGGATGATATCACTCGGGAATTTGGAAACGCGGGGCTCCCTCGAGAGCGAAAACGGGAAACGGGGACAGAGATGAAATAATGTAAGACACTTATGACAAGTCCATTCACAGGCACTGACGAATTGTACGATTGCAGAGCAAGATGGCGCTCGAAAATATTTCCGCTTACGAGCCCGCCGCGCCCGCGCAGAGCGTCTCCGTTCCCCTCCGATGTCCACTGATTTCTACGAATGTAAATTAACTTTAATCTCTCAGCTTAACTTATTTTTCATCTTGTTTTTAGTTCTAAAAATTAGAAAGAGATAAAAAATAAATTGAACTGTGATTCAAGTTAACTTACATACATTAAAAATAAACATGAATCTCGTTTCTCTAGTATCCATTTTTATTAGTGTTTCATTTCAATCCCAGTAAAAAATTTTTATGCGAGAACATGCGAATAGAATGAAGTCGAGGAGAAAAGAACATGTATAAATATACATAAATATATAAATATATATACAATATATATTCCATATATATTCTTATATGAAAAATTTTTCACCAGAATCTTGATTGAATTTATTTTTTTTCTAACTTTTAAAATTAAAAGAAGATAAATTGTTATCAATTGAATTGAGATTAAAATTAATCGATGACAACGAAGCTTGTCGATTACAGTCCATTCAAACTTTCAATTCGAATTCTCTGGGAATCCTGCTACAGATTTTATATAATTTTAATTTCTCTTCTCATCGACTTCATCCTACACATAATTAATGCTGAAAAATATAAGATTATATAGTAGAGAACAATTATTATTATTTCCTCGTTTTATATGTAAAAGTAGAAGTTTCTACATTGATTAGCGAAGGTCTTTGTAGTTGAAAGTATCATCACAAATGAAGAGAACACGATTGTTTCTCTTTATTCATCGTTACATTTATAGTAGACTAGATCGAGTTTACAATATTCGAGTGCTTTGTTTATGTCGCAATCCAATTTTGCCGTTACAAAGTAATCACAACTTACGCTACCGCCTGAATCGTTGCCTGATCGTGCACTGCGCGGTATGCATATATGTCTAAGTTAAGGCACGATAAATTAAAATTGCACTCAGAAAAAAGATTCCGAGGGCAACGTTGTCTCCGCGGTGAAGTCCAAATTAATGAACAATTTACACATATAATATCTTAGGACAATATTCAAACATTTTCATTCATTTTTGAAGATACGTCGTTTAAAGTTTAAAAATATTTTCATGAGCCATTGTATGTGAGACATCGTCATAATGTGATCATTAATCAATTTCAACACCATCAGTCGCTTCAATAAGCTAAACTTCGTAAAAGAAACGATATATTGAAAACATATACATATGTCATTATCTACATTTTTTGTAATGCAATCAATTTCCGAGAACTTTTCCGCAACTTTTCCTCATACATCTCATACTTTTTAAACACTTAGAATTACAAATGCACGTGACAGATATATATATATATATATATATATATATATATATATATATATATATATATATATTATTATTATTATATACTA